TGCAGAACCCACTATATTTTGTAACTTAAAAAAAAAAACTGCACTTAACAGTGTAAAGTAAATAAAATGAGGCCAGTGATCAGTTCTTGGAAATGAAAAGTAAACACAATTCCAAATGGACACAGTATTTACATAAAAATTAATTATGTTGGCATGAGAAGGTGAAAGGCACCTGCTTAGTTATTAAGAATTCTCAGTGGGCAGTGTTTAAGTGATAATCTATGTTTTAGTTGACTCTAGGAAAGCAAATGATTTTGAATTTTTTAGGCTACTGCTGCTATAAAAGTGGTGGAGAAAAGTACAATCTTCCAATAGGATCATCTCACTCTGACAAACAGTGATTTAAATGCAAGTGTCTGACTAGTATGGACTGGAATGGTTTACACTCATGGAAGGATGCAATCACAATAGGATTTTTATTGAAAACAAAGACAAAACTAAGCTGCAACTACCTATTTGATTAAATTTCTTATATTAATGGGGATTACTTCAGATTGAAAATGTCCCTTTCACAACCAAAACTGGGGAAACTTTGCAAACAGTTGCAAATAATTGATAACCACTGAATTAGAAGGATTCTGCACAGCCTTTAAAAACAACAGCATGAAGATACCAACATGAAATTTTTTTTCTGTTATCATTCGAGGCAAAAGCACTGTTGCCTTCAGGCCCACAAAATTATAAGTATGCATTTATGTGCTAACTAATGAAGACTACATTGTGTGGTAGTAATATAATGTACACAATCTCCAAATTTCATCATCACTTATCACATAACATATTTAAGTCAGGGGTTGATGAGCTTTTCTTATAAACATCAGATAGTGAAGACTATGATGTAGGTCCTTCTAGAACAAGATAGAAATCAATTTTAAGAAAATTTTATTGACAAAATCCCAACCATAATAGTAAAAATTGAGTTTACATTTTTGCCAGGTAGCTCTTCTAATAGGGATGGATGGCTTAAATTTAAATGTCATATCACTATTTTGAGCCAACAATAATTCTTTTTAATACCTTTCAAACGTTTCAAAATATAAAGACCTTCATTAGTTCACAATCTGTACAAATAGGCAGGGGCCAGATTTAGCCTATGGCCAGTTTTTACCAAACTCTGATCTAAATACTACATCCCCTTACAGCTGAGGTTACACAATTTCATTAGTCTGTTTTCACTGAAGAAGCAAATCACTGCATCTTGATATAGAGATTGGCTTCCACAAAGGAGGTGTTTATATATGATACAAATTCTGAAATTAATCTGAGAAAACACTGAAAACTTTATTATGGAGAGTAAGCAGTGGGTGTCATGTGGAAGTGATGTTTGATCTCCCTCCACATGTCAGCATTGAGCTGTGTAGTTCCCATAGCTGGAGGCTGTCCTTATCAGGAGGGATTTAGGGTGCTGACAATCAAGAGTGGGCAGAATGCTCAAAGTTGATGAAAACAAATCAGCATTGTTGCTAGAAAAGTGAGCCAAAGTGCATGCTCGTTTTTATATCCAAAGGCTAGTGAGTTATGCTTTGCATCAAATAATTATCTTTTATCACCACTTTACTGTTGTAGTCCAGTTACTTCTTGCACTAGAAAGTAATTTGGAAGAGGAGGAGGGCAAAAAGGAAACTTCTAGACAGAATTACAAAGTTGGGCATGTTAACAATTTCAGACTCTACCCAGTAGCCTTCAGGTTGCAACCCAAGGCCCTCAAGAATGATCATCTACTCAAGTAATTACCTTCATCTATTGCTGATCTTAACATATCTTCAGTGCTCCTTTCAGGGTAGACCTCAGGCACAGCTTTTAGTTTCATTAGAGAAAAGAAAGCACCCAGAGCGAAGTTAGCATCTCATTAAGTGATTCCTAAACTACTCGGTGAGCATGAAATGCTGAGCGAGGCTCAGTGTACCTGAGACCTAGAGCCTCCATCACATGATCTGCAAAAGTGAAAATAAAGCAAAACTCTACTTACTTTCTCCTTACACCTGTTCTCTTTTGGGGTGAGTCAACCCCTCCCGCAGCAAGTCTAAAGTTTCGGGAAAACTGCAAATTCCTAAGAGCAGATTCTCTGTGCATGCCTATTCATACAGCTGAAAATGCCAACAACAGTCTGTGCACCTTCTCAAAGACCAAGCCCTACCAGGAAGATTTGACTCAAAGCTTTTGTGGCAGGGACATAAACAAAGAGAACAGACCTAGAAAGGGTTTGCAGTTTTTGAAAGCTCAACTAGGGCTCGGTAGGCAAAGGATATGACCCATTTAATATATTTCATCTTTAGACAGAGGTAGAGTAAGCAGAGCTACCAAAAATGTGTACATGCCTGGATCTAGTGACTTATTTATACACACACACACACACACACACACGAACACATGGGTATGTATGGGGATCTGCTTGCACAGAAACCATGTTGGTTAATTAGATCAACTAATATTCACATTACAGTTCACCTAATCCCAAGCTGGACCCAGGGGACGGAGGCCTGCCCCGTGGAAGCTGTTACACTGGCAGCTTTGGGCTGACTCAGTGGGTAACAAATATGTTCTTGGTAAATGAGCTGTTCAGAAAGGGAGAAGGTCTTTGTATTCATCCGAGATAGAACCTTTAAGTTTCTTTATTTATATTCAGTTCTCCCTGACTTCAATATTGATATTCAAGATGGATTCATGTTTTAATATAAAGTCTTGTCCAGAAGAATTATTGTAGTTAGTAGCAACACTTGAAAATTTCAAATGCTTGCTGGTGGTCATAGGCCCATACGCTAAATTCCATCCTTGTTGGTCACCACATATGCTATTCTTCCAAAAAGGATAGAGCATGAGGAATACCATGATTTGGTAATAAGCAGACCTTGCCTCATGAAAAAAAAAAAGAAAAAAGAAAAAAAAAAGAAAGAAAAGAAACTTACCAAATATTGAAAAACAAAATAAAAATTAGGAGATGGATTTTTTTTTGTAATCACAGAAAGTGATTCTGGCTGAAAATTACTAGATACAACTTTAATGATATGAAGTCATTTCATTGTATTTTGATACTTCGAGATGTGTCAAATAATTTAAAAGTTTATAGGATCTTGATGATTATCATGTTGCAAAAAACACTAAACTACAAGATGTGTCAAATAATTTAAAAATTTACCAGGATCTTGATGATTATCATGTTGCAAAGAACATTAAACTACTTTTTAAACAAACCACGGATGAAAGAATAGAGACATGGGATGGAAATTTTAAGTGTCCACCAGAGAGGTCCAGCCACGGACAAGTAGCCATGAGCATTCAGCTCTTTTGAGATATCAACACTTCACCTTTCCTTTACTACAAACATGTATCATAAAAGAAAGCCATGTACCATCAATCTGCTTTTTATTTGGCCTTCAAGAAAATAAACGTAAACCATCAGAGGCCCAATCAACCCTCTGAGTATGCTGCAAACCCAAACACCCAGGCAGAGGATTAGAAAGACAGGACTGATTCCAGGGCAGACTGAGCTCTGCTTTCTTAAGGCAAGGATAATTCAAGAGATGTGCTTCACATTGTAAGAGTGACCTCTAGTGCCTTCCTTTTTGGTTGAACTTCAGTAGTTGGAGGATGAATTACTTACTCCTTTCCACCCAACTTTGTGGCTCAGTCTCTATTGTTGCCTTTTCCTTGAAAGGCTTGTGCAGTGCTATTGTTACAGCAATCCCAGATGTTGACCTAGTGAAGAAAGGCATGTTTATGGACTCATGGGGTTCTCATAAGCCCAAATTAAAATGGAATCAACGGTGGAAACAACAGTGCAGCATGCAGAGTGGAGTTGTCTCTGAGAGAGCTACACCATGGCTTTAAATGAGCTAAAACTGAATGGAAGCACAAAGTCACAGAGCCCTGCAGTGTCCCTGAAAATATGACTTGTGCCAGCAAGGTCATTTAACAGCATTTTTGCCACATCGGAGCCTTCTAATGTCCTCAAAGGATGTGCTACAGGGAACTCCTGACTCCGGCTTACTTGTGAGTCCCCCCGAAACCGAAACCTGGTCACACAGCAGTGACATCAATTCCTGAACGGGCCTCGGCCTTTTCTTGAAAAGCAAATGAGCTTTTCCTTTAAAAATCCAAGAAAGAAGTAAAAAGTTGTATTTGCAAAGCTTATTTATCATTCATCAAGGAGTAGAAAATTCACTCATTTAGAGATTTTAAGCTAAATGTGTCTTTGAGAACTTTAATAGAGAGTGGACCTAGGAAGTCCTGTCACATTATTCTAGATGCTTCTTAAATGTCATATAAGGTCTTGCTAAATCTACCCTGAATCAATTCACTCAGAATATTCAACCACAAAGTTATAAAGTTAAAAAATCCAGAGACTCAAAACTAGTTGGGGGAAATCACCTGAATGTTTTTCCTTTCAGCAAAATAAAGAATCAAGCCCCTTCTTGAAGGACTGCACAAGTCTCACTCTTTTTGCAGGAGGGCACAGTCCCTAATGTTGAGCTTTACCTCCACCAATTCTGCTCCTGAATTCTGCAGTACATTTTCAGTTATTAGCCGGGCATCATTTGAAAGATGCAGCCAGCCATCGGTCCGCCAAATGGCAAACTTCAGGAATCCAAGCTAATGCAGCAGAATGTAAAGTCTGCAAGTTGTTTTTCCTGCTAGACATAATTCCAATAAAATTCAATAATCCTAAAAAAAGGAGTAAAATGAAAACATTCGCAGGCTATTTCCTGGTTAAGATGCTAATTTAATGTCTTACTAGAACTTGAGCTTTTTCAATGAATATTCAAAGACTAGAGAAGATTCAGTTCATAGACAAAAAGAGAAATGACACTTTGCATATTTTGACTAGACCAAGGAAAAAGACATGTGTAAACCCAGTCCTAGCTGCAAGATTTCTAATTGATCCTTCGTTTGTAGCAATATGCTTTGCAGTAATTCCACATGCAAATCATAATCATAAAAAACAACAGAAAGTTTTCCAGAGAGCCCCCCTGCAAGTTTTAAATCCTTTGCTGTATACTTACAGGAATTCCCAGCTATGACTCTGTTCCAATTTTGAGTAGATAACAGAAGTAGCATCTTGAGGACAGCTCCGGTGACGGTGACAGACCCCATGTTCACATGTATTGAGCTCCCCCAAAAGATCTTGAGCGGCTCTCAGGAGCGGTCCGGTCCTGTTCTTAGTCCCTCTCCCAGCTCTTCCAGCTCTGTCTAGATCTTCGGCACCTCTGTGTCCCTCACTCTCTCCTTCCCTCCCTCCCTCCCTCCTTTCTCTCTCCCCCTCCCTCCCTTTCTCTCAGTCTCTCTCTCAAAATCTCTCTCACACACAAACACACAGACACAAACACACAGCCCTGTCTCCTCACAAATAGCACTGAAAAGCACCCCGCATCTTTCCTAACAAGCATCCACCCCGCCGAGGCCACGCCCACTCCTCGCAGTAGCGATCCCAGAAATTGACAGCAGCCTTCCTGCTCCAAATTCGCAGCCCGCTCTCAGCCCACCGCGCTGCTGCGCCGCTGATGAAAGCTGGACCCGGAGGCGCGGCCTGCTGCTCCCGGGCCTCCTCGGGGCTCCCTCCCTTCTCCTCTATTCTCCAATAATCCTTAACCCTTTTCTCCCCTTTGGAGATGTGGGTAGGAGAAGGCAGAGCGCGGTGGAGTCTTCTGATTCCCTATAGGTCTTGCCTTTAGCATAGCCAGTCAAAATACTGAGCTAATTCCTGAATATTTTGGGGGGGGATCCAGATAAAATTGCCTTATGTTTCCAAACAAACGCATAGAATAAGGCAGAAATAACTAAGCAGCACTGGTAAACTGTAGCTGAAACTGTCCTCAGGGAAAATGCTTGCTGATGTTTTTCTCTATTTATATAAAACTATCCTCTTCAGCTAGGGTGCCGGGATTTTTTTATGGAAATGCCTCACGTAGAAACATTCCTGCTTGGCAGATAATATAAAATCATCTAGGAGTAGTGTGCAAGAAATTAACATTTCCTATTTTAGTGCATCTGGAGTACAAACGCACAAACTGAATGCTGTGGATGGATCTATTTTGATGAATACATCATGCTGTGAGCACGCAGCAGCAGGCGACCATCACATTCCTTCATAACAATTCCCGAAAGGCCCAAATGAAAAATGATGGGACACTGGGGTAAGGGCACATGTGTGCGCGCACACACACACACGCACACACACAGAGCCTAAACAGTACAAGACATAAAGTTGAGTTCAGAAGATCAAAGACAACCCAAAAATTACTCTTCTAGTGGCTGATCCCTAGATACTACTATTTCTCATCAGAATATTCACATATTTAAGTAATAGTTAATGTAGAATGTTAACTGTATCACGTGGTGTCACTGAGGATCATCTTTTTAAAATAAATAATTTGTTTAAAAGATATGCAACCGGGCCCTCCATGGTGGCACAATGGGCTGAAGTGCAGCACTATGAAGCTCTCTGCAGCCACTGCAGCAGGAGTTCGATCCCAAGCCAGGGAGCTGACTCACATGGCACAGCAGACCTCTCCTGTGTTGCCCACTCAGAATATTCTGAGTGAATTGATTCAGGGTAGCAGTGTATTTCAGTGGATCAGCCTGTTCTGCTCCCCACTCTGTCTCTGGTGAATCCTTTCACTGCTTCTGCAGCTCTGGCCTGTACCCAAATTCTGTATGCATAAATAAATAAAAGTCATGTAACCAATACTGTGCTAGATATTCATCTGAATGGAAACACTCTGTCTGCACCTATTCGTGATGGCAAATTACAAGACACATAAGCTTTCAGCAGAGGCAAGCTTGGAATGAAAGAAAGAGGGAGAAAATGACAGAAGTCTCCTCCTCAGGTATAACCCTCAGCACTTAACAAATGTTTAGTTCTTGTCTATAAAGAAAGCAGAAAAGATTTTCTTGCTTCTCCTGTTCTATAGACAAAAAACAAGAACAGGAAATTGAAATGATTCGAGCACATCGTGAAGTTACTAAGTACAGTGTGAGGCTGGACTTGAATTTTCTGATGTCAGTTGCTGCCCCTTGCTCAGATCAGAGTTCAACCTCCTCCTATCGACGACAGTGGCCCTAGAAAACACCAGTAACAGTACCAGAGAGGCCAGAGCTTGAGTTTTTTCTCTTACTGCTAGGCCTATATTCCTGATTTTGTATTTTCCACCATGACATCTTAAGTGAAAGCAGATATAAATGGACAGCTTCCTGTTAAGGATTATTAAAGGGGATTCTGTTGTATTGAACACACACTACATGCCATTTGTTGCCTAATCATATGATGGTGGCAATTCTTGAGGGAAATATCTTTGTGCCTTTTTAACAGCCTGAGAGGCTGAGCCTTGGGGAAGCTAAGGAGCTTTTCCAAAGACCCAGTGTGAGCTAGAGAGAGGGCTGAGCTTGGCACTCTGGTCTGCAAAGCTCTGAAATTATTACTTTCAAAAACTCCACGGTAAGAAATAGGATCTTGGGCTCTCAGGAAGAGAAAACTTGTCTTCCTATTAACATTGTGCATGTAATTGTTTCCATAAAACAAATTAGAAAGAACATTTTGAAAGACTGCACAGCAAAAATGAAAAATAATGGAAGCTTCCATGGTAATAATAACAGCATTAGGACAAAGTGTCAATTATTACTGCATTCGTTCCTACCAGAGCTCTCCAGGGTCAAGGGTTATGCTAAGAGAACAGAGTGGGAGGCTGGCACTGATTAGAAGAACCTGGCATTTCAAATCACCGCATGACAATCCCTAAAGGGCAATCTCTCCACAGAGGAAACTGAGCTTCACAGACAAGATAGAAGCTAGAAGCATGGAGAAAGCTTGGACCATGTAAACAGAGAAGACCAGGGAGGGATTAACTTTTACTGTGGTTCTGATTCAGAGACTTACTTAATGACTCTGGTCTCTGATGCCTATCTTACAAAAACAGACAAATTATGACAAATGGACCATTGCAATATTAATCTGTGACAACTATCTACTGAGTGCCTAGCACTTAGTAGATCCTCAGTCACCTCCCAGCCTTAGATCTCTGCAGTCTGACTGTACAGAGAAGTGCTCTGAGTGGGTGATATGGGGCTCTGGCAGTCCAGGTTCAACATCCACTTGGCCCCTCTACCAACAGCTACATGCTCTTGGGCAAGCTCATTGTCTTCAATTCTTAGTTTCCACATAGGTGCAGCAAGGATAAGTACAGCACCCACCTCAGAGCTTAGAGAATCTAGGAGTTACACAATCACTGCCAATTTTTATAATGCTTGTGTTCCTATGGCCCCTTTGCACAGATTCTCCCAATCAGCAGACCTTTTTTTTTCACATGAAGAAAGACATGACCCATAGGTAACAGAAAAGTGTTGGTCACCAGAACTCTACATGCTTGTGTTTCTTTTCTCCATCTCCACCCAAGTGGTGCATAATGTCAAAAAATAATAATAAATTGAATGGGAGAAACCAGAAAGGTGTAGAGAACTAATTTTGCACATTACTGCTGACTCAGGCACCATGAATCACTGCTCCCTGGTGTGCTTTTGTGATTACATTTTCCAGCGATTAACAGAAAAACAACCTCTGAAATTCACAGTTTGGCATGTGCTTCTTATGGACCAGAACCTGCCTGGGAAATCATTTTAAATCAAATTAAATGCTATAATTTGTAAAATAAGACTTTCCATTTCCTTTTAGAACAACGTGCAAGCATTGTCTTCCTAATTTTTAATTCTATGATGTCAATTACTTCGGGTAGTGGACGGGGGCAGAATCATGCAGTATCTGTCCCCTTGCCTGACTTACTTGACTTAGCACCATGTCCTCCAGGCTCATCATACTGTTGCAGCGGACAGCATCTCCCTGTTTGTCAAGGTTGCATTAATCTTTTCGAAGGTTACATTTTGTTGATCTGTTCATTTGTCAGTGGACACTTGGATAACTTTCTTCCGTGCCATTATGAATATCGTGGCAGCAAACGTGGTGTGCAAGCATCTCTTCAAGATCCTGCTTGACTACTTTGGATACAGACCCACAAATGAGATTTTTTTCTGTCATGTTCCATTTTATTTTTCTTTTTTTTGAGGAACTTCACTGCTGTCTTCCATAATGACCATGCATTTTACACTCCCACCCGCAGTGGAGAGGGTTCTGATCTCTCCTCATCCTCGCCAGCATTTTATTTTTCTTTTGATAGGAGCAATCCTGATCAATGTCTGGTGCCATCTCATTTTGGTTTAGATTTGCCTTGCTTTTAGGATGAGTGATACTGAGTGTCTTTTCATGTACTTGTTTGCTGTTCGCATGTCATCTCTGGAGAATTGTGTTTTCAGGACCTTTGCTCAATTTTTTAAATTAAGTTACCTGGTTATTCTTTGTTGGAGATGTAGGAGTTGCTTACATATTCTATATAGATATTAACCCCAATCAGATATGATTCAGAAATGCTTTCCGCTATTCTATATGTTGCCTTTCACTCTACTGAATATTTCTTTTCATGCTAACAATGTTTGTGTGGGCCTATTTCAGAGCATTCTGGTATGTTTTATTTATCTTTATATCTGTTATTTTACCAGTTGCATACTCAATTCATTACCAGGCTTAATGGTAAGTCTGGAAATTGCAGAGCATCCATATCCAATTCTGGTCCTGTTTAGCATCGTCTGGACTCTTCTAGGTCTTTGTCTCTCCAAATAAACTTTAGAATATTTTTGCCAATATCTCCAAATAGACTAGAGTATTTGGGATTGTGTTGTATGCACAGATCAAGATGGCAATGAATGACATCTTAGCCATATAGTCTTCCATTCCCTGACTATAGTGCATTTGGTCTACATTTTATTGTTTTTGTCAAATCTGTACAATGGTGACCATTATTTCTCCAGAATTTTTGTATCCTCTTCCTCAGAGACTCCAACCACATATATTTTGGTCCCACAGAAGTTGTCCTGCAGCTTGCAGGCACTCTTCATTTTTAGGTCTTTTTACATATTTTATTTTGTACAGCTTAATTTTCTATGTCTTCAAGTTTACTTGTTTTACCATATTTAATGTGTTGTTGTACCTACCACATTTGTTTATCTTAAGCACTGTATTTATCTCAAGAACTTCAATTTGCATCCCTTTTATTTCTTCCATTACACAACTTAACCATATGAGGATATGTGATGCAAAGATATTAAGTGTTTTAATGATTTTATCTTCTTAACACTTCAGTGTCTGTTAGATTACAATCACATGAGA